GGAGGAGGGAGCAGATTGAGGCCCCAGCCATGGGGGAGGGAGTGAGGCTGGGGCAGGGGCTGCCCAGCTGGGGCAGAGCACCAGACTGAGCTGCACAAAGGGCAGCTCCCACTGCTGCATGCATCCCAGGATGGCATGGGGCAGGGGGGGCGTGTGCCCCAGGATCTGCATGGGGCAGGGTGGGATGCTGGGGCCAGGCCTGTGCCAAGCTCTTCCCAGCTGGAGCTGGGCTCTGTGTGGGTGGCGGCAGCATTGAGAGGGGGCTACAGGAGGGGCCACCTCAATTTGCCATAGTTCCCTTCCTCCCCTTATAGCCCTGTTTCAGAGCTACTGCCACCTGTCCCCAGCACAGCCTGGCCCAGCCTCCACTGGCAACAGCCCAGTGCTGGTCACAGCTGCAGTGCAGCCTGGCCCACCCCACTCTGCCTCGCGCACAGATTTGGGGGCACACAGTGGCAGGAGCTGGGGCAGAACCGCTGCTCATCCAGGAGGACGGGGCATATGCCCCCTGATCTGGGCAGGGCAGGATGCCACTGCCGGCTGGGGCTATGCTGGGTTTTCCTGGCAGGTGCTGGGCCAGGTTGGGCTGTGCTCGGGATGAGTGGCAGCCTCTGCCTGAAACAGTTCAGCACTGGCCCCAGCCTGCAGCAGCAACCCGCCCTCCCCCACATAGATCCAGGGGCATGCACCCCCATGCCTTCCCAGGGGATGCACGTAGCTGCCCCCTGCATGGCTCAATCCTGTGCCCCACCCTGCCCTCGCCCTGCGCACAGATCCAGGGGGACACACCCCCATGCCCTCCCAGGGTACGTGCGCTGGTGGGAGCTACCACCCCTTCCCCGTGCCCCCCAGACAAGCCACTTGCAGCTCCATCCCACACTGCCCCAGCTGTGCAGTCCCACTCCCTCCTTCACCGCAGAGGTCTCTATTTGCCCCTCCCCTTAAAAACAAGAAAAAAAAAAATACAAAGGGATACCTGAGCTGGAACTTCGAGAGAGAAGGGTTACATTTGTTAAGAAAGGTTGAAAACCCTTGATGTAGAGCATTACAGATGCCATGAATAAGCTTTCATGCAGTTTTAGAGAGAGATTTTTTAGATTTTTTTTTTTTAACCCCTTTCCCTGTGCAAATCTCATCCCTTGATGTTTAGTCCAATTGCACTTTCCATCCCCATTGCTTGCAAGTGATGCTGGTTAAAATCTTGATTTTTGGGGTAATTCTGGGTAATAGCTTGATCCAGGGCCAAATAAATACTGAGGTACTCCCTTCCCATTAGTCCTACCTGGGAAGAAGAACCCATCAGTCATTGTGTCCTGGGAGTTTCCCAGGTACAACGGGGGGCCAACAATTGAAAGCTGAGCTGAGGGAGCAGGTCCAGAATGTGTTGGGAGTGAGGTTCTTTCCTGTGAGAACTAGCCCTTCTCAGTACTGCATGTTTTTTGCAAACATTTCTGTTCTGTTTCACATTCCTGTTTCTAACCTTGAACATTGATCCAGGGGACTTCTGCTCAACAGTCTTTTACTTGCTGTTTTAGGTAAAATGCGCACAATACTGGCCACAAAAAGAGGAGAAAGAAATGCTTTTTGAAGACACAAACTTGAAGTTAACTTTGATCTCTGAAGATATAAAATCATATTACACAGTACGACAGCTAGAATTAGAAAACCTTACAGTAAGTACAGGACGCTTTACCAGCCAAACAGCAGCCTCCTTGTTCCTCTTCACTGAGCTTCATTTGCTGCTCCAACTTGTAAAGGTCTTGTGCACTAAGAGGTTGCAACGGGTACACGCCTGGGAGGCTCTAGGGTGGTTCTCCATGTGTTCTGTGCTCTGGTTCCTGAATGCTGGTGAACTCTGCTCTAGACTTGAGTAAACAAACCTGCGCGAGCAGGCAACACTTTTTTTTTTTTGTCCAGCATATCATTTCAGTGTTGGGGAAATGAAACTCCAACAGATCAATGTATTTAATTATTCATGACACTAAATAAACTCAACAGTATCGTAATTCATGCTACACATTTCAGAATTTGGTACTAAACTCTGTGCAAAACATTAAAAAAAAATCCGGATATTTTAGAAGACCATCACAAGATTATATAGTCGTTCATGATGCTTTATAGGCATCTAGTGCTTTAAAATTGGGTACAGCCACTCTTAAATGCAGACCGGGAAGATTTCATAGGAAGGTAGATTGAATTAAAGGAAAGGATTGCAATTTAAAAGCAGCCAGCAAGAATTCCTGCTAACTATCTTATGAATAGAGACTGGAAGCTTGCTGTAATGCAGCAAGAGAGAGCTATAGGATTTAATCCATCATCAAATTTGAAGTGAACAGTTTTCAAGGTAAGATTGAAAGAGGAAGTCATTGCCATAAGCTTCTCCAGGAATCATAGAATATGTTTATGATGCCATTCCTGGCCCCCCCAGCTAATGTTGAACTGCGTGGAAAGTTTACCAATGTGGAAGTTTTATTTAAAAGCAAGCAAATGTAGACTGCCTTGTTAAACACGTGTTCCTTGCTAGGAATATGAGTAGGTGATGAGTGATATTCTTCTCCTGATTAGTGTGTTGCAGGTAGCAGCTGTGCTTAAATCAACCTTTTTGAATTTTTCTTTAGAGAGTCTCATAGCCTGGCACTGTTGTCTTTTACAGACACAAGAAACGAGAGAAATTCTGCACTTTCATTATACAACATGGCCTGACTTTGGAGTTCCAGAGTCTCCTGCCTCATTCCTTAATTTCCTGTTCAAAGTGAGAGAGTCTGGATCACTCAGCCTGGAGCATGGACCTGTTGTGGTGCACTGTAGTGCAGGAATTGGGAGATCAGGAACTTTTTGTTTGGTTGATACATGTCTTCTTTTGGTAAGAATCACTTCCTTCAAATGAAGATAAAGAGGCATTTTCTGTCTCATTTTTCTGACAATGGTGTATTTGCTGTCTGTGAGACTGAGCCATAACATTTGTTCCTAGACATGTCTCATTCTCATTTTTATAATTTACTTGCTATTTTCTTTCCACTGTGAGAATGAAGGAAAAAAGTCAGATTCTACTTTAGTGACCTGAAAAAGTTGGGCCTTGTCTTTGCTGCTAAGAGAAAGTATGTTCATCTCTGAGGGAACAACACTGAGCTATCCTGCAACAAGGGTACAGTAAAGATGAAATATTAGTTTTACCTGGGGGTAAACTTGACCGTTAACTATGGGACTAGAAGTAGCATGCTGACCTCCATAAAACCAGAGCAGTCCTGTTTTGTCAGAGTCTTTACCTTTGGCTAGATACAGACATTCAAAAAGTCTGGGGCGGAGTCAATCCAAGGTACGTGGCTTTCTGGAAATGGTGTAGTTTAGATTTGGTAGTGAATAGATGCCACATAACGCCTTTTGGTGGGGGGGCACAAACCTTAGATTAGGTTCTGCCACTTTTAAACCAGTCTGTGAGTATAGAACAAAAGTTTGGCGCACAAAACGAGTCTGTTTCAGGTATAGGCTGGTTTTCAATCGCTTTTATACCAGTACAAGCATAATGTCTGTACCTGGCCTTTGTGTGCTGGTTACCTTGTAGATTTTTTTTAACTCTTTATCTAGCAGCAAGGACAAAGCCTTGGACATCCCACACATTCCTTGCGTGAATGAGGCTGAAGGCACGTGCTAGTTTTTTGTTACTATGTCTTTAGTCGGGGGACGCTTTTTTGAAATCCAGTTGACAAAAGAGTCGCTGTGTTTGAAACTGGTTAGAGTGAGTTTTAGTAAAGCAAGTTTCAAATCTTTTCCTTTTAGATGGACAAGAGGAAAGATCCTTCTTCTGTGGACATTAAGCAGGTTCTGTTAGAAATGAGAAAGTACAGAATGGGGCTCATACAGACAGCAGATCAACTCCGTTTCTCTTACTTAGCTGTTATTGAAGGAGCAAAATTCATTATGGGAGATGCTTCAGTGCAGGTGAGTCCTATATTGTTTTCATAATCAGTTCTTGCATAGTTGAATTAGCTCTAAAACCTAAGCATTTTGTGCGTCTCAGCACAAACCGGTCAGTACTGTCCTTATGACCATCATACAATAAAGTCTTCAATGGAGCATTGTTCTTCTGGCTTGGATACATTCTTTACCTGCACTGGTGTGTTCAGGTTGGTGCAGACAACTTGGAATAGGTGCTGTTCAATGGAAAATTAGCTGCGTCTGAGAAGGAGCTGGAACATTGGCTTCGCCATGTTAGCCTCATGCTGTTGTCTTGTAACATCATCCATTGTGGCTGGATAGCAATTCTCTAACCTGCTATAGTTCCAGCATTTGAGTGCTTTAAAGCATACAAGTTTTGTTATTTGTAAGCAAAACTCCAGTAACATGAATCCCACTCTGTGCTGTTTTAAGAGTTTCACGTGGGTAAAGTGCCAAATTAAAATGGCCAGCTTTTACAGCTAATGTCTCCCATGTGTGTGGCCAGGCTCTTGGGCGCACTGCATGTGGTTTGGGCTTGGGCTGCTTTTTTGTGTGGCTTTTTGAGTACATCTATACAGTGATACTGAAAGTAAAATAATGACCAGTGTAGAAAACCTCTGACACGTTCATGTCAATGACAATAACTTCCATAGAAGGACTTAATACAGCAAAGATTAATAAGCCACTTCTCCTATGAAGGAACAGTGGAAAGAACTCTCCAATGAAGACCTGGATCCACCACCAGAACATACTCCTCCACCGCCCAGGCCACCAAAGCGAACCTCAGAGATGCACAATGGAAGGATGCATGAACACACAGAGTTCTTCCCTAAGCATCAGGTGGTAGAGGAAGAGGTCAGATGTATGACCAGCACTGTAGAAGAGATGATTCCTGATGGCAGAGCTTGCTCATCTGTAAAGCTGGACACAGACAGGTAAGTCAGTTTAGTGGTCTGGCTTGGACTTCTCATCTGTTTTGAAAAACCTGAATGATAGATTTGCAGATGTAGAATATGTAGAAAGTCACCACTTGTACCACCCACGTGTTCTAGGTAAACACCTTTTGAGAGAACCTTGATACTGCAATATGACAAGACTCTTTATAAAATAAGTCTACAATGTACTTTCTCTCTCTCACCCAAAACAGCATGTGGACCTTTGGTAGAAAGAAAAAAGACAGCAGGACCCACCTGATTTCTCTTGCTAGAATGAGATGAAAGATGAGGGGCACAATGACAAAATAGTTCAGCCTCTTGTGGAAGTAAGTGCTGGGATGGTTAGAGGAGCTTTCCCGCAAGCTAGGGGTATTGTCAGCTCTGCAGCTATAAAAGCCAAACCAGCTAATCTCAAACACAAAGGAGTGCAAGAATCTAGTAGTCTAAACACATCTTGCAAATGTCTTGCAATATTAAGATGTTTGTTTAAGCCACATGGAGCGTAATGTTAGACTTCTGTAGCTAGACTACCTGTTTATTAGGTAGACTTCTTTTTGAGATTAGTGAAATTTAAAATATTTTGCTGCTTTCTACAGTTCGGTCATAATTGTAATGCCCAGCATGGGAGCTATTTCTCAAAAGTTTTCCAATATATGTACCCACCACTTCCTTTAACAGATGGATGAACTCCATCTTTGTCTTGCCTTCCCGAGTTTTTCATGCGGGGGAACTTTTGTTTTTTGCTATATGTCTAATCAGTTTTATTTGATCCAATGATTGGGAATCTCTGGAAGATAATTTATTCTGATGCTATTGTGGAAAAAGCAAATGTAGTTTGGGGCTGCCTTTAAAAGACATAGAGCATGAAACGCAGGAGGTGATAGTACCACTGGCTCAGCTCTGGCTAGGTCAGCTGGGGGGTTGTGTGCCATACTGGGCCCTACATTTGAAGAAGGATGTTGGTGAATAGTAAAGAAAGATGGAGGAAACCAGGCAAGTTTAGTTTGGAGAAAAGGAGGCTGCCATAAAGAAGAGGGAGAACAACTGTTCTCTGCTGCAGAGGGCAGGGCACAAAGCAATGGACTTAAACTTCAGCAAAGCAGATTTAGATTAGACTTTCTTCAAAAATACATCCGTTATCTTACTGTTCTTCCTGCCAGGAACAAGCTATCTATAGGGAAGCTGCAGAATCTCCTTCATTGGAGGTTTTCAAGAGGAGGCTGGTAAGCATCTTCCTAGGCTGGCTCAGGAATGGCACATTTGCATTTGTACAGAGGGATGAAACAGGTGATTTCCCCCAGAGCCTGTCCAACCCTATGATTCTGCTTTTCATCCCAGACTAAAATGTTCAGATTATAAACTTGCAAAAATGGAGAGTGTAACAAAGAAATCATGAGGGTGGAGAACCCAGAGGTGCTCATGTGCTTAGCCACTAGATGTCACTACTGTTTCATACATATAATGTAGAAACATCTTACATGATACGAGGTAGAATCTGCTGGAACGAACGTTTCCTTGTTCTTTAGTGGACTGAATAGTAACATGCCCCTGTCGGTCTTGTCCAGGGTAGTCAGAAAACCCAGTTGGGGACTAAGGGATCAGGAGCTGCTGTAAGTGGCCATAGTCAAGGGGTAAGTCCAAGGTTCTTCTCTGAAGCAGTAGAGATAAAGGATCAGTTCCTAGACATCTCAAAGCTCCCAAGGGAATGCTGGAAATACCAGCCTCTAGTTTCACAAAGTTCAAGAGATTTTTAGTAGTTTTTTTCTGTCAGTTGGCTCTAACTACATCTGTCCCGCGTCTCCTCCCTACGCACGCATACTCTTAAATATTGCAGTCATGACTAGAAGCCTCGACTTTGGTCAGGCCCCCTTGGTTTCAGCAGTCCAGAGCCAGGCAAATAATATGACTTCAGTTTGATTGAACCGAGAAAAGTTGGGGGAGGGGGTATTTAATTGAGTCAAGCTGAAAGGAGAGTGTTTTTATGGCTTCTTTGGCAAATCAGAAATCACTCAATGTGGGTTAAGTAATGTTCTGTCTCCAAGCACTTTTTCTATGGAGAAAAAAGTTTTGGGATGGAAGCTAGAGTCGGGAATGCCCAGGCACATTCATGAGGAGGGGTGCTGCTGTCCCTCTCTGCCCAACAGTCTTGTAGGTCCAGGATTAAGACACTCCCCTGGGATATGGAAGATCCAGATTTCAGTGCCCTCTTTACTGAGCTCAGAGCTGAAATGGGAGAATGAATCCACCCAGTCGCTTTTACCTTCTCATCAGTTCTCTGGAATGGTTTTTCAGTAAATAAATCACTTGACAAACTCTTTGCCCAGCTCTCTGTAGATAAGCTTATCAGACCCGGAGATGGTTCTTACACTTGAACCTTGGTATACAGGACAAAGGATATATTGACAGCATTTTGCAGATGGGAAACTGAGATGCAGAGACTGTCTTGTTTGGATTATACAAAATCTAGAAAGGCTAAGACTTGCAGCCTGAGACCCCCATCCAGGACTTTCACCTCAAGATCAGTCTTTCGTTCTGGTTATGACTGGTCTCCTGCACTATTATAGATGAGGCTGGTTGCACTGCTCGTCAAGGCAGTTAAAAGCTACTATTGTGAGTCAGTCTTTTTTTCAGTTGCAACTTTGCCAAACTTTAACTCTTGTTCTGAAAATTTGGCCTCCAACAGACATGCGACCTGGAACCATTTTTTAGAAAGTTTCAACCAAACTGATTCATCCATATCTGAGACTGGAGGGGGGGGAGAATGTTTTGCCAACCGTGCACACAGATTGGACACCTTTGCTTTGGAGTACAGGTTGATATCTGGCCAGGACTGCACCTTTTTGTCCTCCTTGCAAAAATCTGGTTGAATATGGCTAAGATTAGCCTTTGAAAAATTGTATGTGCTCAGACTACTTGGATTGTAACACTCAGGTTTCCAAATGCCACACAATGATATTCATGTTCAGAATGATATTAATTTTTCAAAGAACTTGGGTTTGTGTGCCTTCCTGTATTTAAAGAAATTAAGGTTGTAGGAAAAAATAGTAAGTAATGATGATGTAATTTATTTTAATGCATGTGAAAAAGGAGACCAAATTTTAAAGCTGTACCAGGCAAGGTTCCCTCAACTTCAGTTTGATGTCCGTAGGACTGCAATTACTGCTCTGATAATTGCACAGGTAGCAGATGCAGCCTCTTGGTGCCATTTTATGCCTTTACCCCATGATTGTTCCTCCCCTTCCCCTTGCACAGAAGAGTTCTGAGCGTGCTCACTTCCACGCCTTGGGTAACCCTGCTCCTGGGCTGAACAGGATGGGTTGGTTCCATCAGAGATAAGACACTTGGTCCAATGTATTTACTACCCTGGTTGTTGCCAGTTGGTGTCAGATGCAATGTATAATTGAAAGCCTGTATTTGTCCCTTTTTTAACGACACATTTTGAACATCAATTCTTACACAGCACTTTTCACCAGGAGGTCTAAGTTTCTATGGGGGGTCTGAATGAATGGGGCAGCATCAACCCACCTTCTCCCTTAAATCCCATACTCAGTGTCTTTATTTCGTCCCTCAGCACTAGTCAAGACACTGAACTTCGGAGGAGAACTGTTGGTGACCACCTGTCTCTCTCAAATCGCAACGAAGAGCCGATGACTTTGGAAAACATAGAAGAGGAGGATGAGAACATGATGACAACTTGGAAGCCATTTCTAGTGAATATCTGTATGTTCACTGTCCTCACAGCAGGAGCTTACCTCTGCTACCGGGTATGGTTTCACTGATGGATGTGCCAGCAGGATTGTGTGTGTGAACACCATTGTTTTGACTGGCTTGTAATCCGCTTCTATCTGAGAGCGCTAATTGAGGCATCTGAGCCTTGTCTCGATGGAAATACAACTTAGTTTGGAAGGCTGGAACTTTGGCTAGGGCTTAAGGAGAATTGATGCACTAGGGTTTAATTTAGCCCTGTGGTCCCAAGAACAGAATACTCTATCTAATCTCAGGGCCTTAAAATCTTCAGGAGTAAGCAGAGAAAATGCCAAATAGTCTTGTTTTTTCTTTCTTTTTTTTTAAAATGGAATAATAGAATTACAACACATTGTTGTTTTTAGCCTTTTTTAAAAGCCAGTTCTTTTTTTTTTTTTTCTTCGTGTTATTTTAGGAAAAAAACTAGGCACAAGTGAAACTTGCTTGTACTCTCCACGTGTTGTAACCAAATATGTGATTTATATTATTACTGAGTTCCCAAAAAAGGAAAAACAAAACCCACATGTCTGAAGAATGTAAACTTTTTTGGAAGGGGGAGGGCTCTCTTTTGACTTGCTTCATCTGTTAAAGACTGAGTCGTGGGCAGTGCCTGTGGTATTGATCTCTTTCATCTTGGCATAACTGTTCTTAAGTAGCTTCTCGTTTTTACGTGTGTTGATAAACACAGGCTTCTGCATTTGCTCAGGGTATCCCAATGTGTCAGACTTATTTTTAAAGAAAAATAATAATAATAACTTTAACTCCCCTCAATTATTTTGTTGCACTTGACTTGCACATTTGCCTGTTCACATTGTACCATCTTCTGTAAAGTTGTTTCTACCTTTTGTGTTCTGGGTTTGGGGAAGAGGCAGGGAGGGAGAGGACCAGGAAAGGAAATTCAACCAAGCCATCCATGTCCACCAGCATCCAGCAGCTGTTCAGTTGGCATTTCAAAGGACTAGTTTTTAAACCTCACCATTTAGAATGTAAAATGGAGTTTCACTCGAAATCTGCTTGGCAAGTAGTGTGCTTTGTGCACCAGCGAGAGAGGGAGGACACGGTGACTCAAGGGTGACATGAGCGATGGCTGAGACCATTTCAATAAATCCAGAGCAGTCAATGCCACGGCAGCTTCCTTAGGATCAACAGCAAATGCGTTGGTCTGAATGTACCAGATGGCTTATGATGCAAGCATTTGTGTGTGGCTTTTTTTTTTTAAAAGCAAAGATTCAATATTGGCTTTAGCATTGGCTTGAAGTTATGCTGTATGTAGGGGTGCAGAGGTGAAAGTACACAAGTCTTGCAGCTCTGCAGAGGTGGCAGGAAGGGGGAGTTATTTTAGCTAGAGTCCGGTGAGTGGAGAGACTGGTGGCTTTGTCCCCATTCATACTGTACCCCACCAAAAGTGATTGACAGTTTGGCTCGGTTGGTGGCTCCAACTCCAGAGAAGCCCAGGGTTTGAATAGTATAGAGGGTTTGTCAGTCAAGATTTAGGGGAAGAGGGGGTGCAGAAGCAGAGCTGTGACTGAAAGCTCGCATTGCACTAAACCTGCTCAGAGTCGGTGCTGTCAGTCTCTTCCTTTCATGAGTACCAAATTACTACGTAAGAACAGCAACAACAACAAAAATAGAAAACTTCGCTCATGGGGCAGGTATTAGGAGCAAATTCACTACCTAAACTGTAGTGGTTATAACTAATCAATGAGGACTGATCTGCAACAGTATTACCAATTAGAACTTTTTTTTTTTACATGCCTTCTAGAGGTATAGCACTTATTCACCACTCAGTGAAAATCCCTTTATGGAGTAACTTGTGTAACAGTCTTCACTCCATATTTATTTTTGCAAGGCTGTCTGTCACACTAGTTCTTTCCTTAAATGAACGAGGTGTTGACTTGGGGAGGGGGGGTATTTTTATTTAGTTTGGGTTTGGAGTTGGGGTTTTTTTTAAATGTTAAGCTTGCATCAAGGGCTTCTCAAAAGTTCAATAATAAATCCTCAGGTAGTACTGGGAAATTAACATTTACCTGCAAGACTGTTGGTCAGACCAGTACTTGAAAGGAGGAATATTGTAAGCAGTCAATTATTTAGTAATATTGGAAACATGAAAAATATGAGTATAGAAAATGGTATAATATATAATAATGGATCATCTGTGTATTTAAGATACAGTATGTGATTGCTTTGTCCCCATTATTCTTTCCATCATCTGGTAGAATATTAAGGCACCATTTGTACCCTGTTTGTATTAGAATGCATGTAAAGTCTTCTTCTAGCGTCCCGATTTAAATACTATGTGCTTGAAAGGTGAAAGAACTTATATTTCTGCTTACTGATGTGCCCAAAGTATATTTGCATGATCTGATCATTAAGTGACTGTGGTTCAAAGGGTGTTGCTGAAAGTGTCTTCATTCAGCGATAGATTGATTAGGTATTTATCAGATAACGTTGTACTCGCCTAATATTTGGCATGACTTTTCTATGGGATTTCTACGTACTCAGTGTAACCCAGTTGTTTAGCATAGTTCATTTCAGCTGAGTAAGTATAGTACAAACATTCCAAAGTGTGTAGCAAGCCATATTCACACCTCACCTTTAGTCACTTTTTGGCAACAGATATTTCAACACTTTGGGAATATGACTTACTGTGCTGCCTTCAGATTTGCACTTGAGGGAAACCCTGAGTCTGGAATGGTCACCGGTGACAGTGAGATTTGAGTGCTTTTTGCCAGGCCACTTTTTCCATGATCTCTGGAAACAAAGCAAAACTCCTGAAGTACGTAATTGGTGACCCATAAGCAGAATGTGACTGAGTAGCTATTTCCTCCCTCATTTGGGGAAACTTTTTAAACTGGGAGCTAATGAGCAAGCATAGCGTCCCTCCTTAGGATCCATGGTAACTTGATTGTACTGTACTTGCAACCTTTTCCATAAAGGAAAACAGACCTCTCTCTACAGAGAGAAAAAGCAGCTCTAGCTAATACGTCCCTTCCTGCCAGCTAACTTTGCTGCTTGCCTTTCACCTGTTTCAAGTCGAGAGGACTTGTACTATAGCGGGAACATACAGTGGAGTGCCCTGTAAGCCCTGTGAGGTGTGTATAAGGCTTATAATGCTAAACTGTAAGCATTTTGTTTTTGATGTCCTGTATATGTATGTAGTAGTTTGGGTGTGTATATACAGTAGCATTTCAAAGTAGGTGTATTGGTTAACCTGTTCTTGGAAAAATGGACAAATATCCATGTTAAACTTGTTAGAAAGTTAGTGAGCTGCTCTGCTATATGCCTTAAGCAAATATGTACTCATCAGGTCTTTTTCTTTTTTACAGATTGCCATAGAATAAACTTTTTTAAGAAAAATAAAAAACAGAACAAAAAAAAAAGAAAAGCTACATGTTTTGGTATAATACACTTTCAGGTATCTTGTCTTTTGTGTAAGCTTCTGCAAAGACCTCAACAGGTTACAGTAAAATTGTACAGTTTTTCAATTTCCCATACAAGTTTTCAGTTCTCATTTTAGTTAACAATAAAGTTCTTTTTTTAAAGAATGTACATGCGCGTCTTGCCTCTTCCTCTTTTATCATAACTGTGAAGATACAGATTCTCAACTCAGTTGCTGGTAACAAACCCAGTTCCTTTGGCTTATCACCCAGAACTTCATCTCAGGCTGATGTTTCTTTCTTCCTCCCTTCCCCCCCTCCTACAGTAACAGAAAAACTTTTACACCTTTCCATTATCACAGAAAACTTACCTTCAGATCAAGCTAGCTGTTTAAAAAAAATACTCTCTCTCTCTCTCTCTCTTCCCCCACCCCTCCTGAGTTTGCTCACAGTTGTATTGATTTAAAAAAAAAAAAAAAAAATCAGCTGAACTTTAAGTACTTGGGCCAGCTCAACAGGTGATAAGATATGCAAAATTAAAAAGCTGTAAAACACTAAGACAGACTTTGTAAAATTATTCCAACTGTGGGATGGCTAAATGCTAATGTTTGCAGGGGTGTAGGTTGTTTGCAGGCAAACTTCAGATGACCATACCTCTCTCATCCCATCACAGCAAGCACAAATATTGCAACTTCAGATGGCTTCAGCTCTTCCATGGACTTTATAATTAGGTAGGATTGATTCACCTTTAGAATTTAAACAAAGCTGCCTGGAGCTGTCACTTCCCAGAGCATCAATCTTTTAGCTTGTAAGAGGTAAGGTAGAAATTTGACCCAGGCTTCTTTCAGTTAGGGTCTGTTCCACAGACTTAACAGAAACGCAAGCACTTTTACCTCAAATGTTTTTATTAACATTTTAGAAAATGGTATGTAAACCACCACAGAAATAAATACTGAATAGAAAAGTACAAAGTACTGTATAATATATACATAAAAGCCAAAACACTTCAAGTATTAGACCAGAAGTCATTCTCCCTAAGTGGCCTAAATGTGAATTAAGGTCATTGGGTACCTATTTAATTCCTGGCCTAAGATTAAATGAATAAAATGTACAAATTTAAACTCTAGCTGCTGGTGCAAGGAGACATCCTTACACAACAACACTGTTCTGCACCATTCAGAGATGCGATTTGAAACAAGGATATACGCATTTGTAAATTTTTGACAAACTGAGGCCATAAAACCCTAGTACTTTCATCTGTTTAATGCTTGTGCTGTTCTCAAATTTACTTTTATATTTCAAATGGTTCCTGCTTAGAACAGGTGAGGCCTAATTTGAGTGCAACCATATTTTTCTTTCATGATGGCTTTGAAAGCAATGAACTCTTTGCTTTGGGACTCTCACATTGTTACGAGAAATTGCATAACAGCCCTGAAATGTTGCTGGATTCTCCTCCTACTGTGCATGGCAGCTGATGTCAATGCACGCTCCCTCTGCTAGTACTGAGTGCTATAGCTAGTTTCTAATACCATTTCATTATCTGTGACTGTATCCCAATGTTGTCTATAGCAGTCATCCCCTAAGGCAGGAAAGATTCCAAGGACCAAAAGAAAAACTAGATTTAGAAGTCGATTTAGCAGAAGCCTGTATAGCTGTACTGAGCTGAATGGCGCTGTACTTGCTGTGAAATAAGCATCTAACACTTGCTCTGTAATGTTGTCAAAGCAGCCTGTGCTCCTGCAAAAGAGTTCTCCCTTCCTGAGTGTGAGCTGGGCTCTGACATCAACTGGGAGCCCCTGGCCATCAACTAAAGTCGCACACCTTGTAAACTGAGCTTCAGCTCCACTCATAAGTACTGCTCTGGCAGCAAGCAGCATGTGTGCTGCTCCTTATGCTCCATTTACCTTACCCTCCCCCTCACCAGTCTCTAGGCTGTCATACTCCAGCAGGGAGGGCATTTATTTTTAGTATGGGCAATTGTGTGCATTAAGAACACTGACTCATGCCACAACTGACCCACCCATGCAAGCCTGTCACTAACTCTCCCCTGGGCTGATTCCTCTGGCTTTGTGTAGGGAAGTTCCTTCAATTTTTGTTTATACAGGTGACTTGCAGACTGAGACCTGCATTCAACACCTAACCATCCCCCATGTACTTTTCTGGGTAAGTTTTAAAAGCCTGGCTCTATCTGTTGACATGGGTGCAGGAACAAAGCACAAAAGTCTGCTTTTTACTTTGGCTTTTGGTCCTAGCCACCCAAATGGGAGAGCTCTGCCACATACTTATCACTTCATAAGTAAACCAGTCACAGGTAAAAAGAAAATATACCAGGAAAAGCAAGTCTTCAGGTAGCTACATCTGGCTTGTACCTCCAAGTCGGCATTTATTCCTAGTTCACTAGCGTTAAAATACCGTGATTTCAATTTCAGCTTCTTGGCATACCGCATCCCTCAACTCGCAGCAAATCTTGTCCATTTTCTCAAAGGCTTGTCGGCCTTTTTCACCTACAAGTGAAGGTAAACACCGATCAGGGGGAGGATAAATCTGCACCAGGCTTGCTTCCTGTTAGGACTGTTTACAGGGTGATGGTTCACAGCCTGGATTTCATCCAACACCTAATACCAAGGTAGACACCCAACACATACCTTTAAAATGGCTGGGCAAGCCCTCTGAAACAGGCTCTAATTACAAAGGTAGCACTTTGAGAGTTTTGTATTTGCAGACCCCAAATCATGTTTGGGGAGGAGGAATCTTTGGAGCTGAAGGTCTTAATAAAATAGTTCTTAGCTGGAGCGGTTGTCTAGCTGCAGCCATAGTGTGGTGTGGTGAGAAGTGCAGCACACGTGAAAGGAAATTTAAAATGTACCTGCTTTCATCCCAAACACTTAGGAATTCTCTTGTTGCTACATGCTCCAAGTGCACTTTAGCTCTGCCTCCCCTCACTGACAGACTGCACAGACCCGCTCCAGTCCTTCCCAGCCTAACTTCAGTGATTTGATAGGTTGGGACTGGTGCTTTATGCCCCTCTTTGGGAAATGCAGATTAATGAGGACACCTTTGCTTTTATTGGCAGCTATTTCCCCATGTCACCCCAATTCTATATCATAATCAGCCAGGTAAGAACATGGGTTACACAGGTCCCAAAAGATGAAGGTTGAAGCTGGCATCACTCTCACTATCGTGAGTGAGAGCAACAATGCTGGGATGCTGTTTGCTTCATACCTCATTTGTGTTCCTGTTGCCCCCTGTCTTACAGTCACTGGTGCTTCTTGCAGCACCTTCCCCTACAGCTGGCTTCTGGCCTGCTTATCTACAAGTCTTTGAGCCTTCCTCTGAATGAAGCATATTGTAATGGTCTGATTCAGGAAGTCATGAAACCTCTCAGCCTGCTTGCCTAGCCCTGACCATTCTTGTAGAGCACAGCACAACACATTGGTGAAACTTTAGCCCTGCTTTGGTCTGTCGCTCTCCTTGGCATCTACATTTAAAGCAGCAGGAAGCATTTACCAAATGACAGTGTTGTCTCCCTGGCAGCATTCCGCACTTCCTCCGTTTCAGCTTGACACAGACTGGCAATCTGCTCGATGCTTTCGATGCCCTGTTTGAGAGCAGAAAAAAGGCTGTGTTAGCTGTTTAATAAGCAGCCTCGATTTCTCACAGACAGTCTTCCCACTAAGACACCAGGCCATTGACTAACAAATATGCAGACATGTGCCAGCTGTTCAACTGCCATCTGAATCCTAATACGAACATGCTCCCTTTCCCTCCCACCACAGGTTTGCTATTGCCAGGATTCTTCGACATTGCCTAGTCTGGGCAATTAAAGGGTTGAAGTGACAGGCCATGGTTCACTGCTATGTTACTCCAATATTGAATCACTGAAATTATCTTTTTGTGGATATAGAGAGGCCAAGGTGTCACTGGAACAGCTGTTTCTCAAGAGGAGGAGTTCAGAGCTCGCTGGGGCTGCCTTGTGACTATGTCCTTAAGAGTAATGCTGAGAGTGTGAATGTAACTGGTTATGCGAGTTGTGGCGCCTGGAACAGCTTGACTCCACTCAACTCAGGAAAGGTTTTACTAATAATGTATAAAAAGACCATCCAACTGTTGTTAAACAAAAGAGTCTCCAACAGGTTGGGATGATTGATGAGCATTCATCCTAAAAGTAGCAGCTGTGTTATGCTTCTCTCTTAAAGATAGTCTTTGATTCCATTGTTAGTGTCTTCCTACAGGCCACAAAAAATCTTACTCACCCACCAATCATTTTTTCCCATGCCCACATTCTCCTGCTAACAAATGAAGCAAAATTAAGACAACTTATTTTGTCTACCATTGTACTCCAAGTATCATCGCAGATGGCTCTAATGGGGTGGAATGACCATTGCTCTTCTCAGAAATAGGGTTATTTCTGAGAAGAGCAATAGTTTGGAATTGAGGCAATGGGGGATTTTGTGTTTTGTTTTGATGAATTTAAAAAATAATCCCTCTGGGCTAAAACACTGGGGAAGATAAACTTGGTTGAGGCTGCTGGACACAGCCTCATTCAATAAAAAGCCAGTTAACACACACACACACACACACACTTACTTACTCTGAGGTTTTTGAGAGCCAGACATGCAGCTTGCTGTAGTTTCACATCACACTCGGCTAAAATATCCGTGTAAAAAAGCAGAGCCTAGAAAATAAGATTGAGCACTTGGTTACACTAGGAAAGAGGCCTCTTCAGGTTCTGAATGCCAAATGGGCAGTGATCCAGCACTGCTTCCTTTCAGAAATAGACTGAGTGACACAGCCACTTCTGCTACTGCTGAAATGCGGTATTTGTGGGGGTAAAGATGTCTGTCTGCTGATTCACAAAGCAGGGTAGAATGGAGAACTGTGGAAATCTGAAACTCAGCCTGAACTTCCTGGGCTAGCTAATGATAGGAGCATTCAAGAAAGGTGAACTTCCTTTTCCACCCAAAATCGCTGCTCTCAGGGAGATCAGCTGATTGAACTGTTGCTTCTGACTGGTGAGAAACTAAGAAGTGGCTCTATGTAATTAGTACCTTTTCCCTGAAGTTCTTGTTCATTGCTGCCCGGGAAAGACAGGATGTGGCTGCCTTGCTGACCCGGTGATTGTCATCTAACTGCAGCATCCCGAGTAGCCGTAAGGTCTGGGGAAGTGGCTGG